CTCTAGGAAGGCACGCCCCTCGCCCCGCCCACAGCGCCCCACCCCCTCCGCGCGCTCACCTTCCTCCGAGGACCCGGCAGGACTGGGGCTGGAAGGAGGAGGGCAGAGAGGCTTGGTCATCCTCGAAGCAGATGTGGTCGCCCAGGAAGTCGGGGCCGGAGAAAAGCTGGATCTGAAGGCAGAGAAGGGAGTGATAAGAGTGCAGGAGGGCGCAGGAGCAGGACAGAAGGAGCTGGTGAAAAAAGATCCAAGAGCTTTGAAATGAGGGAACCGCGTCCAAGACTGCCTCCTTACCTTCGAGACGAAGTGCAGATCATGCTCCCCGACCTGAAGGAAGGGACCAGTTTCGAGACTCAAAGAGGCTGTCAACCCTTGGCCCCTATTTATTCCACTAGATTTCAATGTCACCAGCGCAGAGATAACTTGCACGGCTTTCTAACGGGGCAATGTCTCCGCCCCGGCGCCCCGCCCCGGCGCCCCTCCCCTCCCCGGCGCCCCGCCCCTCCCCGGCTCCCCGCCCCTCCCCGGCGCCCCGCCCTTGATCTTTGCCCACTGTCCCGCCCCTCTCCGGGCCCTGCCCGCTGTGGCACACACCTGCAGTACCGGCTGCAGGGAGGCGAGGGCGCTGTTGCCCGCGCCCCAGTCATCGCAATTGCGGTACACGCCCTTCTCCAGCACGTACTGTTCGCCTGAGAAGCCCACCTGTTCATAGGCCACCCACCTGCAGGAAAAGCAAGGTGTGGATCAACGGGGTAAAGCTGCACCTCTCCCACAACCACGCTCACCCCGAGAGTCGGGCCGGTTCACTTACACACCGCTGAGCACGTGGATGGCCTGTGTGTGTGGCCCATGTTGCACGAGTTCCACATCCGGCAGTGCCGTGCTCACCTCCACGCCAGGCCCATGGAAGTCCATGGCTTCAAACAGCACCACTGCCGGGTCCCCGAAGTCCTGGGCCCCAGGGATAGACAGGTTTCTTCAGCCCATGACTGGAAACACCTGGGGGTACCCAGACCCCAAAGACGCAGCCCACCCAGTGTGACCCTCATCAAACACTTGGAGAACTAGGAGCGGGGTTCTGGTTCTTCCCTCATTGTACTGGGGCAGTCAGCTGTGACCAGAGGCAGTGGCAGAGACCAATTACCAGTGCTTACCGTCCGGATGATCCGCAGGGAGGTCAGCAATTCGTCATAGCCGCCCCAGTGTGACCAGCTGGCATACTCGCCTTCCTCCAGGAGGTACTGGTGGCCACGGAAGCCTGCCTTCTCATAGCCCACCCAGCTGGTGGCAGGGGACAATGGACATACTCAGTTACAGGAAGTCCCTGGATAGGCTTCCCTACCCCAGAAGACACAGGTCCCATCCCATCCCAAGGCAACCATCAGTAGGGGTGATGAGATAGAAGAAACCACCGCAAGTCCTCACCAGCCCCCTAGAACCCGCAAGGACCCCACAGAGGCCAGGTTGGGGCTCTGGCTGTCCTCTGGCTGCTGAAGGTTATAGATGTCTCGGCTCACTTCCCAGCTCTTGCCCTGAAAGCCTGGAGCCTCATACACCACAGCCTGGGGATGGGGAGGGGGAATAGGGTGTCAGTTGCTGGGGTGTCCCTGGACTCAGACAACCTCAGCCAGCCCAAGAATGGCTCTGCCCAGTACCAGCCTCACTGAGCTCCACCTGTCTGTATTCTGACCCCTGCCCTGTCCTTACACATCAAAAGCCAGTTCCCAATAAGCCTTTTGGTTCCATCCTACCAGGCCCAGCTTCTGGTCCCCCACCATCCTCTTGTGGCTTACAGTCTGGACCATGATAACCACCCCCACAACAATGGCCCTCTCTGGCCCTGAAGCCCAGCTCCTTACCTTGGGCTCCCCTGGTTTCTCCACGCTTGGACATCCCTGCAGAGGAGACGTTGCTGAGACACTGTCCCCAGAGGTGGGGAAAACAGATGGGACTGGGGAACCTAACCTAGGATTTTCTTGATTTTGAGACCCCTTACAAGTGGCAGACCATGTTCTTCCTCTTCCTCCACCCTTGGACGAATCTTCCCTCTCTTCCAGTTCCAGTAGGACCTCCTGAGTTGTCTGCCAGGAGCCCGGCTCTACAGTTCCAGTTCCCCTCTCCTGCCCACAGATGTAGGACCATACTACTTAGGACAAGGGACAGGGTGGCTTATAGGTGTTTCCTGCTCCTTACCAATTTCATGGGCTTCAGGGAGCCCACAGTGGGGTCTGATGCACCCCAGGGCTCCAAAGTAGGGTACTCTCCAGGCTCCAGGATATAAGGGGTATCTTCAAAGAATGGCTTGGGGTACAGCATCCACCTGGGGAAGGTAGAAAAAGTGTTGCACCCCAGTTCCCAAAGAACACCCCCAGACCACAGACTAAACTTTGGAAGTTTAGATCTTTCACCCCTCACCTCTGCCACACATACTGCTTTCTCTATTCATTTAATAACAGATATTGAGGGGCATGGACTCTGAGCTGGCCCCACTTCCAGCATCATCAGTACAGTACTGACCAAACACACACATTCATGACCTCCTCGAGATTACAGTCTCACTCCACTCCTCCCAACTGAGATGTTTCCTCCTCCAGGAGGGCTTCTTTGCCTATCCCCTCACCCCCACCTTCAGCCACTTTGGTGCTTTTCTGTGTTCTTGAAACCCTGTGCTCCCCACCCTACAACGCTGGACTGCTATTGTCCACCAGTACATGCTGCACCAGTAGCCTGAGTGCGTTTTGTAATTGTTTATTTATTTATTTTATTTGGTACAAGTTCTCGCCACACAGCTTAGACTCAGTGATCATCCTGTCTCAGCCTCCCCAGGGCTGGAATTACAGGCATGGGGGCACGACCAGGCCCGGCTTCAGTGGCCGGCTCAGCTGCTGGCCAGCATGGAATGTAGTACCAGGGCTAGAACTCAGGTCCTTGTGCTTGCCAGGCAGGTGCTTAGACCACCAAGCTATCTCCCCAGCCGCCTGGGCACTTTTGAAGTGAGGAACTGTGTTCTGTCACCTGTGTCCCCAGCACCCAGCACAGTAGTGAATGTTGTAACTCAAACTCACAGTCCTGCAGAGACAGTGGCAGATGCCACTTTCAGGGGTCTCTCCAGGCCACCAGGGTCCTTTAAGGCCTCGGTTAGCTTCACTTGCTCACCCTTGAGGCCCTTCTCAGAGAACAGGATGATCTCTGGGATGCAGTAGTCCTGAAGAAAGAGAAGCGGGGACAACGAGGTATATTGCAGCCCTCTTTGGAGACCACTGTGCCCCTCTCCTGCTTCCCCAAGTCTGCAACCAGAGCACCAGGTCACTCCTGGAAAATCTCTCTGGCTCACTCCCCCAAAACCGGGGTGGGGGGCCACTGGGGTGTTCTTGCAAGCTCAGCTAGCCAAGCCTGAGACCAAAAGTTCTTCACCCACCTTTGGGAGCTGAAACCAAAGATCCCAGGAGAAGCTGCAAAGCATAACACCCTTCCCTTGGGTCTTTGGGCAACCTGACTTCCTGCCTGGTGGAAGAGTGAGTGAGCTGGTAAGCCACTTCCTGAGGGCCAGCTTTAGGTACTTTTCTAATTTCCGTCCTGCTTTGCTATTTCTGTTGTTAATGTATTTTTGGTAGCAGGACCTCAGGCATGTTAAGTACACGCTGCACCCCTGAACTAACCACTACACCTCCAGGCCTCCGGACACCTGAAGCTCACTGCAGACAACAGGTCTTCTCTGCTTTCTGAGTGTTTCTTTACCCCACAGGACCATTTTCACTCACTCAGTCATTCATTTAATGACTGTGAAGCATCTGCTGAGTGTGGCACCCCCAGTGAGCGTTATTGGTTCATTTGAAGCTGAGGAAAGTGAGGCTCAGGAAATGAAGTGAACTGCCCAAGGTCACGAAGCCAAGAACAGAGCAGCATAGTTTGTGTTCAGTGTTGCAACCTGGCACCACCCACGTACCTGGCACACAGTAGGTACCCACTCAGTGCTGAATGAATCCAGCCATCCTAAGCTGTTTTAACTTCAAAGCCTTGTGTTTCTCTTCTACCTCATTACCTCCCACACCAAGGCAAATTTATTGTGAGTTTCTCACAATAAATTGTCCGTAACTGGACAGGCTTTGAAACCAGCTATATCTTCCTCCTGGGACACTGTCAGCTGCACCAGCAAGATTGTAACAACTCAAGACTTAGTTACTCAGTATTTCATTAAAAACAAAAACACCCAAGCTAGACCCTGCTTAGATTCACGGCTCCTTCTACTCAGTCTCTCTGAGGGAAGTCAAGGTTATTTTTATCGGGTTTATTAATTCATGCTCTGAAAACAAGGTTGTTGTTCTTTGCTTTGCAAATATAAAATTACAATGTTGACTTTTCAAACTCTTCTTTCCCTGAAATCTCTGGGACATCCTGAGATTTCCAGCTGGGACTCCTGAGATTTCCAGCCCCCTCTGGTCTTCCTGACTTTTTCCTGATGTCCAGAAGGGTGTTCATAAATTCCCTGGTCTGGTCACACCATCTTCCTGCTTTGAACCAGCCCTCACAGCTGGTCTAACTGGTGGGTAGGGCAGAGAACCCCCCTACCATGCCTGGCACTCAGGGAATGGCACCCAGCAACTGGTGAGCACCTGTGAACAGGGCACCTTGCACTGGGTGCTGGGTAAACCTGGCCCATTCCTGCCACTCAGACTTCATTCTGCCTGAGTACCAGCTGAGACCTCCCTAAACTGCCTTCTTAAGCTGGGGGTTGGCCTGTGCCTGGCCCTCTCTCCGCACCCCCCCCCAGACTGGACACACCCTAGCATCTCTTTCTTCCCCCATGCCGCCAAGGTCAGGAACCTCTAGCTGGCCCCCCCATTCCCACCCTGTCTCCCAGAGTTCCCACTCCAGGCACGAGGCTGCCCCTACCCAGCCTGCTCACCCGGACAATCTGCCTGAGGGAGCCAATGCCAGCAGTGCTCCATGCCGGCCGGAGGGCTTTGAGTTCCACATCTCCTTCAGGCAGGACCAGCTTCCGGCCCTGGAACTCTGGCTGTTCGTACAGCGCCCAGCTGTGTGCACAAAGACTGCAGGTCACAGTGGGGAAGGAGGGCATGCCCACGCTCTCTAAGTAGCTGATGGGGTTTCTGCCCTTTGTACCCCAGGGTCACAGCCAGGCACACTAACCATCCTCGCACCACCCTTACGGAGGCCGCAAGGTCCCAGCCTGAGGCATCCGCAGTGTCTTTCCAGATCTCCCTGCTGCTGCCCTGGCAGCCAGGGTCCGAGAAGAAGATCACCTGAGAAGGCACAGCACGTGTCCTCACGTTGCATCCCTAGGCCCCATCTCCTGCCACCCCTGCCTATGTGCCCCACATGCCTACCTTCCCAGGCCGGGTGTTCAGCTTGCCCTGGGCCTTCAAGGATGGGCTCTGGAACAGAGGAAGTAATCAGAAGTCTTATGGGCTTCCCTATCTGCTGCTCCTGAACAAGCTACCATCCTACGGGCATTACATCCTCCCTATTGGCCTCTACCTCCAAGAAGCTGATCCATAGAGGATGTCACACCAGTTTCCAACCACCAAGGGCTTTTTACTCCCTTCCCCAGCTTCCAGAACATGGAAGCCATCATCCATTAGTACGAACTTCCGGCTATGCAAGCTAGGGAGACTGAGGCTCGGAGTTGTGGTTTGCATAGGTTAACTGAACTACACCTCATGACCAAGCCTCCTTCCAATCTCTAGGGATTTTGACTCCCAGTACCATTATCCTCACACCACCCAAACCTGCACCTCGGGGAAGCCAGGCACCTCCCCACCCACCCAAGGCCTCACTCACCCACCCCTCCAGGGGCCGGGCACGTGTCAGCATCTCTGGTGGCGGCCTTCCACTGCACAGCAGGGGCAACTGTCCAGGCACCTTCTTGAGCCCCGGTGCCTCATGGGGTGGCAGAGCAGAGAGTTTTGTACCCAGTGGTTCCAGGGTAGGGGCCTCCTTGGTGGCAGACACCAGACTGCTAAAGAGAATGCTGCTACCAAGCCTCGAAGTGGGCCGGTTGCCAGTCTGCACTTCCAGCCCAAGTTCTGGGTGATGGTTCCTGGCATCCGCTACATGTTTCTTCATCATTTCCAGGGGTGAGCAAGAGTCCTGGGTGGGCCTGGTAGAATGGGAGCCCCAGGAGGGGCTGGGTCCTGCTTTTTCCAGCTTGAGCTGGAGTTTCTCATCATCACTCAGGTAGGGGTTCTCTAGTTCCTCCTCCTCCTCCTCCTCCTCTTGCTCCTCCTCATCCAAGGTGGGCACCTCCTGGGGACTGGGTCCCAGGACCCATGGTCCAGGCTGGTCCTCCTCGATGGCGGGCAATGTGGCGTACATGGCCAAGTAGGAGGAGCGTGGGGCTCGGGGCAGCCGGTGAGTGCGGAGGATTTCAGGAGGCTCCATGCTCCGTAGAGTATCGAGAAAAATCTCCAGGTCAGCAGTCAGGGCCATCTCATCCTCCTCACTTGCTGACTGTGGAAGTGGCTTGCCCTCAGTAGAGTCAGGGACAAGCTGGGCCTCCGTGCCTGCTTCTGTTTCCACTGGCATTGCAAGAGGGGTGCCTTCTACAGCAGAGGACTCCCCACTCACAGAGGGGGATGGGACAGGAGAAACAGCAGGGCTCTGGATGTCCTCTTTTTGAGTAGGGGATGAGACAGGGCTCCCTTTGGCACCTAGGATGGCTTTGTCCTCTTTGGAGAGTAGGGGAACAGGAGCAGTCGGGCCTTGAACAGTCTCTTCCTTGGGAAGGGAGGGGGCAGGGCTGCTTTCAACACTCTGGACAACCTCTTTCTGGGAGCCAAGACCTCCTTCTGGGCCCTGGACAGCCTTGGTGGGCTTAGGGGATGAGGCCTTGGGAGCATCAGGGCCCTGAAGTGCCTCTTTCTCAGTAAAGGAGGAGACAGGCACATTCTCAGAGTCCTGAACAAGCTTATTCCTTGGGGAGGAGGTGGCAGAAAGACTTGCTGGGCTGGGGACAGTCTTCTTCCTGATAGAAGGTGGAACTAGAGGTTGTTCAGGCACTGTAACAGCCTTGGCCCTCTCCACGGGAGGGATGGGTACAGCCGCGGGATCTGCAAGCCCTTCCTTCTCCAGGCCCTGTGGATGGGGCTGGGCCCTGGGCTGAGAAGCAACCACAGGCTGCTCTGGGTACTGGGCCAAGGCCAGAGAGGAAGCATGGGTCTGGGGTCTGGGAGAGGAGGGCACTGGTGCTTGGTCCCCAGAAGTCTGGGGAGGCAGTGGAGTAGGGATAGAGGCTCCCTGTACCCTTAGGGTCTCACAGGTCCCAGCATCCAGGGCACTGCCTTGGTCTTGGTCTGGGTGGGCTGTAGGACCATCATGTTTCTGGGGTGCATGAGGACTCACTGTGCTGCTGGCAGGTACCTTTAGCTGGGCTGTCCCCATCTCAGGCAGCTGCCCCAGGGCTGTCCCCCCTGTGCCACCCAGTCCCTGGCTCCTCGGCACAACATTCGTGGGCCTAGGGAGGCGACTGGCAGGAAATTTGTTCTCAGCAGTCACCAGGCTACTCAGCAGCTCCCGGGCTTTGCTGTGGCCAGATGAGCCCTCAGCCTGGGGTCTCACCACCACCGCCCGGATAGAGCGGGACACATGGCGGCCCCTCGGCAAGGTCTCACCTGATGGCGCTGGTCCCGAGGTCACTGAGCTGCTCATCTGGCGGTCCACATGGCCCCCCACTACTGTGGTTGTGCGCACAGTGCGTAACATTCGACACTCCTCACGGTTCCAGGAGTTCCCACCAGTGGGACTCACACCTGGGTGGGGGCTTGGCTCCCGGGGCCCAGGCAGAGGCACCAGCAGCTGAGTCCTGGCCATGGCTCCCATGCCTGGTGGCTCAGTCCTAGGAGCCTGGGGCATGCTGTCTGTCTGGTCTGCAGCCTCCATCAGCCTTGCTATCGGCCTTTTCTCCTTTGGAGGTGGCACATACTTCTTGGAAAAGATGGGCCCATGGCTCTGGAAGTTTGTGGAGCCAGCCTTATCCTGAACACCCTGGTGATTCACAGTCTCTTCTTCCCGAGTAGCAAAGCCATTGACTTCCTCTCGAAGGTGAGTGTACCCAAACACTTCCTCTCGGGCCCCTGACACCAGGGACACCTTGTGAAAACGGTGTCTAATTTCTTCCTGGGCTGGAGGCCGCTGTCGCCACATCAGTGTGGCACTTACCACTCGGGCCTCAGCCCGGGCAGGAGGCCCAGCTGCCTCCTCCATGTCGAGCCCCAGCAACCTGTCCAGGGGTGTTCTCGTCACGCTGTGGTCCAGCACCCTGCAAACAGTTCCAGGAAGAAGAGAGATGAGTATTAGAGGGTGGCTAGGATGGCTGCGTTCCTGACGGGCAGAATAACTACCCCTGCCACGCACATGCGGGGCACCCTCAGGCATTCACTTGACCTTTCGGTCTCTGTTTCCTTGTCTGTACAGTGGGTGTGATATTCCCAGTTCTGATGGGATTCACTCCTTACTCATCTCCCCACTTTCAAGAGATTCCCTCTGTCAAGATCCTTCAAAGGCTGAGGCCTGAGCCTAGAAGGAGGGAGAAAGGAGAGAGCAGAAAGGAAGATGAGTCTGGCCTGCTGGCCCACGGATGGCCTGAGCCTCTGCCCAAGGAGCCCCGGGTCTAATCCTCCAGGCGGGCTAAAAACCAGAAAGGCAGATACTGCATAAGCATTATTCCCACCCATTCCTGCCACAGGTTCCTTAAAAGACAAATTCAAAAGAAGTGGGCTTTGGGCTCAGGCACAGCTGAGTCCCTGCTGACCCCACGCTCACTATCTGGATGACCTTGGCAGGCCACATTTCTTCCAGACTCAGGGTCCCCAGCCACACAACAGGAGTCCTAAGAATGCATGTTTCACAGGACCTTGCAAGGCAGGACACAGTAGGAGAGAAAGAATGAAATCCTGCTTTATAAACTACAGTGCTGACTCATAAACGTCACACTGTCATCTCGGAGGTTTGTGACCAAATGTTAGCAGGTGTGCATACACAAGCACTGGGGAGAACAGCCAGACCGCAGGGGCTCACTGAGAGGTACAACAGCGGGGCTCAGGGGAGCCCCTGAGGCAGCGATGACAAAAGTTTTCAAGGATACAAACAATCTGCTGAGGCACATGTGGGAGGGGGTGGCCACCACTGCTCTAAGTTCACAGCACTCTTGAGTTTTATACACGTTTTCCTCCATCATCTCTGAAATCATTATTTTACCCACAGTAGAGAAGAAACAAGATCAGAGAACTTCCCAAGCTCTGGTTTGAAGCCACATCTGGATCATCTTCCCCTTACTCTTGGAGACGTGAGGGCCTGGGTCTTGTTTCAGGGGAGGTTTATATTGTTTTTGGTGCCGAGGACCAAACCCAGGGCTGCCAGCTTGCTAGGCAAGCATTCTACCGCTGAGCCAAATCCCCAGCCCCATAGGTCTTTCTTTTCTGACCCTCTCTTCATCTCTCTGGTTACCTACAACCTACTTTCCTAGAGGACCTCTACTTTCTCAGGAGCTGGTGAATTTCCAGATCCTAAGAGAAACAGGAACAATACTGTCCTATTGATTTTTTTTTTTTTTTTTTTTTTTGAACTCAGTACCTTGCACTTGCCAGGCAAGCACTTATTCCACTGAGCTATCTCCCTGAACCCAATACTGTCCTATTGAAACCTTAGAAGAACTTGGGGAGTCTGTGACCTCAGTAAATTGTTACTAATTATAATTAAACACTCCCATTTTGTACAAGAGATTTTTTTTAGTTAAGGAATTGCCCAGGGTCACACAGAAGCGAGTCAAGGTTTTACCTCAATATTAAGTGTTTAACCACCCAGCAAACTCCCTAACTCCCCTAGGTAAACTGAGCCTCTGGTTTGAGTGTCCTGGAGGGGCCGTCTACCCCATCATTACTCCCAGGCAGCCCTGACAATGACAATCCCGTTCTCAGCTCCCATAGACCCCAGAGGTCAGCCTGTTCATCCCTATTCTTGGCCTAGCCCGCCACAGGCCTGTGGCCCCTCTCAAAGGGGTAGCACTTGGAGGCCCCATCCTGGGCCAGAAATGGACCCACTCCCCCAGTTTCCCTCCCGTAACTCCTCCCTGTCCCTCCTGAGAAGCTGATGGAGCCCTGAACTTTGACCCTGCTCTGTGGCCCCAGCAATGAGTCAGGGTTTATGGGGAGCAGAGATGAAAGGGGCTGAGGCCCAGGGAAGCCTGACTGGACTCCCAGACCATGGGGGTGCTCTGACGGCATCTGGGACAGAGCCTTGGGGATCCCGGACAGCTTCAGGTAAGGAGGGGGGAAGCTTAGGTGATCCTAATTCTTTCCCAAGGCCAGGGCTTCCTGAGAATAGCACACACCCTGACATCCAGCACCCCATCTTCTTGAGAGATGGTCTTTCTTCTCCCCTTACCTGCCTGGCACTCTGCCCGCATGGAGCCCCAACACTCACCACAGCCCTGTGAAGTTTCTATCCTCCCTCACTGGATCCCCTGTCCACTTTTGATGATACTAACAACTCCCTGCTATTCACCAAGACTCTGGCCCTGATGACGCTGAGAGTAAAAGGCAAGGCCTGTGTTCCAACCATCTATTCATGCATCATTCGTTGGTCATCCATTTAATGCCAAGCATGTCGGGCCATGTGCTAGGCCCTGGTTTCTAATCAAAGTGTTATCTTAAGAATCCAGAGGTGAAAGAAACAGATTTCTTTTTTTAAGAATCAGGTATTTGAGGACTGGTGATATAGCTCAGCAGCATAGCACCTGTCTGGGAAGTATGAGATCCTGAGTTTGATTTCCAGTATAAAAAAAAAAAAAGAATTCACATATTGAGGTCCCACAGACTCAAAGGAAGCCTGAGAGGAAGCTATTGGTAATTGACTTAGGTACTTCCTGTGAACTCCTGGCAATCAGAATTCCATACCTTTCTCAGCCCAACCCTCAGCACAACCCAACCCCTGGACAACACCCCTGACAGCCATTCATTCCACAAGCATGTGGTCACTGGCTTCTCACATACTTCTAGGGACAGGGAGGTCACCACTTGACAATTCACCTGCCCCATCCTTGGACAGTCATGCCTGCTAGAAGGTTCTTTAAACTTTGCTGAGATCTGCCTGCCTGGAGCTCCCCATTTTGTCCTGGTTCAGGAGACACTCCCCACTAACTAGTTGCCTCTATTGGGCAAGAAGATATACCCATTTCCAAGGTACTCTCTTCTCCAAGGCCCCAGACCAGAAGTGGAGTTGTTAGCAGGGTGACCTGCAGCCTCTAAACGAGGCTTGTGGCTGGGAAGGGGAAAGGGGAAGTGTGGGAAAAATCTTTGTCCAACCTAACAAGTCCTGGATCTCCCCGCTTATGTGTGAGTCACCCCCAAACTAGGCCAAACCAGTCGGCAGGCCTACATGCTGACAAATACAGGCATACACAAGAGTCACACGGAGCACAAAAATATGTACAGACCCCTAAAGAAGCACAGCCTGACATACACATCCACACACAGGCACGCAGAGACACAATAGACATAACAAGTCACATAGCCACACACACAACACAGACACAGTGGCACTCACCCGTGTGCACATTCCCAGTCCATACAGTCAAGTCATAGCCACAAACTCTTCTCTCCTTGAAATGCAGCTGTACTTGAACACAGCCTCAAGCATCTGAATGCAAAGCCATCTATCTCCCCATCTGGGTCCCATGTCCTCAAATTTGCAAATGCTGGCCTAGAGAACTTTCCTCTGAAAAGTGGACATAAAAAGAAGATGTCCCTGGAGGTCACCCCCTCCCGCTCTAAGGGGGTCCCAGCCTCCAACAGGAGTCTGTTACTAACCCCCTGGATTCAAAGCAGCCAGGGGATGGCAAGAGGAGGCACGCTCAGGCTCCCGCTCTTTTCCTTCCCCTTCGCCAAGGCTCGCCCCTACCTTCTTCCCTGTCCCTTAGATGGGGCTCTAGACAGCTCTTCCCTAGAACAGAACCAGACCACTGACTTCTGCCCAGACAACCTGGGCATCGCTGCCTCGGCCTCTGCTGGCATAGTGCTGCCCAATGCACTCCTGCACAGCGTCATGGGGAACCGTGGGTTCCACAGCAACCACAGTCACCCTCTGCGCCCACTCAGGGTCCAAGCGGCTTCTTTAGGAGGCTGCATAGGAAAATGGGTAGAGCACAAGCAGTTGTAGAAAGCTGGGATCAAATGCTGGTTCCCTACACTATCCAGGTGGCTTTGGGCAAGTGACTTGGCCTTGCTGAACGTTAGCTTTGAACTCTTACTTAGGTGGTGGGTTAAGTTCCTATTTCAGGGGACTGCTGTGAGGATTAAATAAAATTATGTTTAGAAAACAAACACTAAGTGTCAGCCACCACCTTCATTAATAGGAGATCCTCAGAGGCTGCCTGGGCCTGGGACCTCATCCTAGGGTCTTTAAGGAAATTCCAGGTTCAGCCCTCTTCCCTGAGTTTGAGAGCTCCCCATTCCCCATCCTGGAGCCCACCAGGCAGCAGAGCCAAATAAACCAAGTCTCAGGCGCCTATTCCCATGGCCGCCAGCACAAAGCCAGGTGGGGTAATTATTGCTGCCACTGAGGTGTAATTAATAAGCATCCCTGCTATTTTGGCAGCCCAGCACTCTGGAGTTCAAAGGTTGTTCCTGTAACCTGACTACCAAATCCACTCAATAATACAAGGCCCAGAGAGGTTAAGCAATTTGCCTCAAGACAGCCAGCATCTTGGCTGAGTGCCTGTTCCCAGGCTGGGTCTGTGACCTCCTGAACAGAACTGAGGAGTGGTTGGTGGGTGTTGCTGAGAAGAAAGTGACCCCTCAAGCTGCCCATCTTTTCCATGACAAAATTACCCCTCCTCGGATGGGCAGGGGCAGAGAGCAGCGGTGGGTCCCAGGGTACCTCCGGGAGGGAGAGAAGACAGATGAAGGGGGCAGGGTGGCAGAGGCAGCTCCGGAGCAGGTGCCAAATGAAAGAGTCTGCAGTCGGAGAAGTTAGAGACAGGCAGAAAGACCCAAGAGGAAACACAGCCACCAGGATCCCATCTCACCATCAGATCCAAAGAACCGACCTCTACTCACCGTCCACGTGGGGACCCAGGCTTCCAGCTGGCCTGACACTGGGCCACGCTCCCCTGGTGCAGCAGCGGGGCTCTCGGCTGGGGTTCCTGGGGCAGGTCGGTCAGGCACCCCGTGATGGGGCGGAGCCCCTGGGGAGGCTCCTGCCAGCCCCTGGATTCCTCAGGGCCGCAGGGGTGGGGAGCTGGTTGGGCCGGTTCCTCACCCTCCTCCCCAGGTGTCTGCCCACACCCCTGTAGGGTGACAGTGATGTGGTAGCGGGTCCTCCTGGCCAAGGGACGTAAGTGTGGGGCTGAGTCTGACAGGACAGGCCCTGGGGTGTCCTGCTCGCCCTTTGCCCCTTCCACCTCAGGGACAGATGCTGGGTGGGGCGTTGGGGTTGCATTTTCCAGATTGCTGGGCGGCTCCAACCTCCCAGTGACTGTGACGTCCTGGGCTAGGCGTGGGGGGTGCTGGCAGACACGGTCTGGGGTTCCCTGTGCCATATATGGAGGATCAGGCCGCGGAAGTGAGGGGTGCTGGGCACCATCAGGTTTTGCAGAGGCCACAGCCAGGGCCAGGTCCACGGGTGCCATGGAATTGTAGTTGGCCAGGTCTGAGGCGCTGCCCACAGCTGGCCTCTGCAGGCGCCCCAAGGGCTCAGCAAGGCGCCCCAAGGGCTGCTGTTGCTTCCTGTGGCTCCCAACCCGAAGATCCCATTCTGAATGGCTCTGGGCGTGGACCTGGGGAAAACCAGGGAGATACAGAGACAGGAATAGAGACATTGTGAAGGCATCTCCCCTGTGTCCTCCATGTGTCCCTGGCTGTGCCTCTCTGCCTACTTTGGCACAAGGGAAGCTAAGTAGGATCTGACACCCAGCTGAGCTGCACTAACAGACACTGCCAGGGCCACCAGAGCTGGGTAAAGGGGCAGGGCCCTGGAATGGTTCTTCAGCATTAAACTCAGGCTGTCCCATTGCATGCAAGAAGAAAGTGAGGCCCAAGAGGACAGTGACATGACTAGGGTCTCACTGCAAGGCAGAGAGGGCTCCCAATCCTCACACGCCCCACTGCCTCCCAGATGATGCAGCTCTGGGGTTTGGCCCTGCCTTCCTAGGGCCATGACCTTGGCTGCCTCACAGGCCTACTGCTACTTTCCCAGGCATCTACAGCAAGCCTCTGCTCTTTGGCACCAAGTGTCCTGGAGATTAAGTGTTGCGTGGGCATGCCTGCCTCGAGTGCCCATGGCCTCTGCCTGCTGCAGGCTACTTGAGGACCTGCAGCCACCTCCCTTGGGCCCTGCCAGCCTAAAAAATTCCCACAGAACACCAGGGAGGAGGTCGTCCCTGGGCAAGAGGTAAAGGGGACATTCGGGAAGCAGGGAAGGGTAAACACCTGGTGTCTGTCTACTCAATTCCCTGGGATCCAGCCGAGCTGTGGCTATGGAGGGAGAAGCCTCAGCATCCAGATGCACATGGACATGACCTCCCCGCCAACTACCAGTTTTCCCAGGTGGACTTGCGTCCTTAGCAATAGGAGAACCATACACAGGGTCAAAATTCCCCTTACCAGGAAGGGGCCTTTGATCTCAAGTGCTTTCTTTCCCTAGGAGTTGGATACTTCAAGAGACAAGAGAGTAGTGTGACTGGTGTGGGGCCCTGGGCCTGAATCCCAGGGCTGCTACTTGCTGGCTGCAATACCCCCTGCATCTCAGTTTCCCCATGTGTAGAATGAGGTGATAACAATAGCACCTGGCTCCCTGGAGTACTGCGCAGATTGGGTGAGATAATCCACATATTGAGTACTCAATTAAACTCCTGTCATTATGCATGATATTTGGGACCAAAGAGAGAGTCATGTGGCTGCTTCCTCCACCTCCAGAGAAGGCTGCCCTCTGCAACTCTAAGGGGAGAATATCTGTCTGTCCAATTCATAGCTCAGATCCCCACTGCAGAAAGCTAAGTCACATGCTCAGTGTTATTTCTGGGGGTCCTTGGGAGGAAGTGAGGAAAAGGAGCCCAAGATGAGTAGAGGTCAAGGCAGTAGGAGGAGGGAGTTCCTAGGAGCAGGCCTTTCTCCTACATGCTTCTCCTAAGGACCTCAGCATTAGGACACACATTTCCTGAGCATCCAGGCCCCGTGCTAGATTATCTTCATAGACCTCAGAAAGGCATTGTTGTGCCCATTTTTCAGATGAAAACACTGAGGTTTAGAAGTGCAGAGGGATCTCCTCAGGGTCACACAGTGAATCAGCCAGAGGATTAGAACTTGCGTTGTGTGACTTGTAAGTCAGGGTTCTCAGAACCTGACCAGCCCTCCCTAAGTTTCTGCCCCCCTTATTTCTCCTCCAGGTTTTCTCCTACCTTTAGTCTGACATCGCAGGTGCTGCCCTGGCCCTGGGCCAGGTCAGGGCAGCTCTGGCCACCCCAGGGCCTAGGAAGAAAACAGAGGAAGAGAATGGAGTAGTCTCTTCCTGTCCTCAGACCATCACCCCCGACTGGGCCCAGTAGCCCTTTCCCCAATCTTCTCTTAGGGCACACAGATGAGGAGCAAGAAGCCCTCAAACCTTTGTGGAACACCTATGTGGCAGCCTCTTCTGCTCCCTCCCCCAGCTGACTGCCCCACCCCTGGAGGCAGAGACAGGGACACGCATGGGTTGGGACCAAAATGGGGACCAGTCCAGGCATGGTGGCACACACCAATAATCCTAGCACTTGAGAAGCTGAGGCAAGAGGAGCATGAGTTGAAGACCAGCCTGGGCTACACAGTGAGTTGAAGGCCAGTTTGAACAGCATAGTGAAACCCTGTCTCAAAAAACAAAGAAAGAAAAAAAAAGTGTGTATACAGGCCAGCGAAATACCTCAGCAGTCTAGTGTCTGTTCAGGCAAGCTTAGGCAAAGTGCAGGGACCACGGTTGGACCCCAGGTACCACATGCCGCACCAGCTCCACCCTCAAGGCGGGCTGAGCCCATCACAAAAAAAGTGTATTTGGAGTGGGGAGTAAGGAGGTGGCAGGAAAGCGGCAGGAGAGGTGGGGGAGGGGGGGGACCAGTCCTGAATCAGGCCCAGAACAGAGAGAAGACAGTGCTTTAGTGGCTCCAAAGGTCCACATTTGACAAGGCCAACCTGAGTACCAAGCAGGCACTAGGTTATGCGCCTCCACAGTCACCATTCTGCCTCACAATATTCCTATCAGGTGGGTATCCAAGCCCTTATTTTTCAGATAAGGAAACTGAGGCCCAAAGCGCCTTGCTTGGAGCCACACAGCTAGTGAGCTTTGGAGTTAGGCCCCAAGGACTGTCCCAATCAAAGGTCAGTCATTACTGCACTAAGGGGAACATGAAGAGGAAGTACCTTGTCCCTCTGTCCCAGCCCCCACCCTGGGCAATGAGCCAGGATTAGAGGCCTGTGCCTCAGGTGGGGATTCCCTTTCCATGGCTGACAGGAGCTGAGTCTATGTGCAAACATGGCCTGTGTCACCACGTCAGTCACAGCCCCTCCCCACTTCCCTCACTCCTGACTCACTTGCATCCCCAGCTGCCTGCTTTGTGGGTCTGGGGAAGGCCACCCAAGACTATAGGGCTGGTTTCCAACAGCCTGGGAAAAGGGAGGGGGGCGTGTCTTCCTGGAGGGGGTGGGCAGGGCACTGTTAGTATGGGTACCCTGGGCAGCCAGCTTCTAGACCAGAACCTCCCCTCTCTACAGTGAGACAGCCACATGAACCCCTCCCTTCACCAGCCCCACCTTGCCTCACCCCTCCTGGGGAGGCTGAAGACAGCTGTGTGATAAGATCAGAACAAATTGCTGGGTAACTGCATAGACACACAAACACCTCACTGCTGAGAACACACACTCTGCCGACAGAGGGCCTGTGAGCTATTGGGCCCTCTGGATTTTCTTTCCCGTTTAGACAGACACCAGCTACCAGGAATGCCCAGGGAGGTGAAGCAACTTGCTCAAGGTCATCAGGCCAGTGGCACCAGGCTTGGGAGTTTGGCAAGTGTCCAAGACAACAGAGCTCCAGGATGTGAGCTCTGGAGTCAAGACTGCTGATGAGTGTAACCCAGCTCCACCACTTCCCCACTGTGTGACTGTGGGCAGGTGACTTCACCTCTCTGAGCCTCCATTTCTAGATCTGAATCACAAGCAAGACCTCATAGGGCTGCCATGAAGTTTGATGAGCTAATCTGACCAAACCACTAAAGCAAGTGGCAAATAAAGGTTTATTGTTATTACAATCTAGAGCTATCTCCAGGTGAGGACACATGCAATGCCATTGTACAAGGCAACTTGGAATCTGCTAGGACTCCCTGTTTTCAGAGAACAGAAGACCAGAGGCACATTGACCTGTGATGTGGAAATCAAAGTCCACGCGGCAGGAACTGCCACGTTTGTCCTTAAACTGCCTCTAGGGAAGAAATCATGAAATTGTCAGTTGTTTTAAGGTTTTACTAGAAAGCAGAGGCATTCCATAATCACAGATCCAAAATCGTGGTACACTGGACACATACATTTTTATGCTCCACGACAAAGACCCTCATGCATGCTGATCTGAGCACTCAAAACACTTCTAATACACTTGGACAGACAGACAGACAGACACCTCTACCTCCCCCGTTTCTGCATCTCCTCTCACCTATCCCGGGGTCTGGCCTCCTCTGAGGTCTCCTTCCCCCTGCGTTCCCTCCGGACCCCTAGTCCTGCCAGGAGGCGGCCCAGGCGGGCCCCCAGGCCCCCACGCCGCTCGGTCATGATGAGGCCACAGCCCCGGGCTTGTGTAGTCAGGACACCTGACTGCTGGGCCTCCCGGATCCGCTGCATCCGCGGAGAACGCCTCCTCCGGCCCGCCCCACACGCCCATCTTAACCAAACAGCGGCCCCGCCCGCAAGCGTGGCGGCCGGGACGTGACTTAGATGCTTCCAAGGCCCTAACCTGGGGTGCGCTCAGGAGACAGTGGCCCCTGGCCACTCCGCCCGAGCTCCATCCCCACCCCATTCCTGCTTTCTGTCATAGTCTGTGCTGCATCTTCAGTCCTCTGGAGGCGACAGAAGCGGATCTGGTGCGCTCACACAGCCAGCTGGCCTTGCGGGAGCTGGGGCGCGGGAAGAGCGCACCGGGACGGCAGGGGCGGGGCCAGAAGTGGGCGTGGTCTTTCACTGGGCGGGGCCTAACCCGAGGGTCGGTTCCGACTCGGGGCCACGGGGGTGATCAGCTTGGCTTTGGGACCTCCGTGGGTTTTGGAGCCGAATCTCACGCTGCCTTCCGTCGCCCTAGTAGTCTCACTGCGAGGATTCTCCTGTCCTGGAGCCACCGACGACCCAGAGCGGGAATCTCGCTTAGCACTGAGGTGAGGAAGCAGCACCCAACCCACACATTGGTGATGGTGCCCCCTGCCGGAAGCCAGTGGGAGAACCAACCCCATGCAGTCCGAAAATTAGTCTTCAGTCATTGCCTGGGTTTATTGTAGCTCTAACCTGGCTCTCCTTGCTCTCAGTGCTCTTTTCCACCTCATGCTCCCTGACTCACGAGTGTGTGTGTGTGTATGTGTATGTGTGTGTGTGTGCGCGCGCGCGCGTGGAAACCTTGAACTTTTAAGGGGATCTCCTGGAACCACAGGGAGATAAGTCTCAGGAGAGTCCCAATCCTGGCCCTCTTTGTCATTTCTTCCCTGCCCACAGTCCTAAGTATCCATCTGCTACCGCAGCCATTAGCCTCTGTCCTTTGTGCTAACTAGACCTAGCGTAAAGCGGGCATTGTGCCTATGCGTCGTGAGTGGGCAGTGATCTCTTATGTCCCGTTCCTTGCTGCTTGCAGGAGCACACCACACCTGACTGTGACAGGATAGATTAGCTGAGGGTGCAGGTGGCTAAGTAGGGAGTGTGAGACCAGAGGTGATGGGAAGCAGCGAATGGACATCTGGACAGGTCTTGGGAAAACTGTTCTGAAAAGAGGGCACTGCAGCCCGTGCTGGGCAGCACAACCTGAATCTGGCAGAGTCCTGGAGGGCTGGACTGTCCATCAGTGAGCTGAAATGGAGGGTTTGGTTTCAGATTGGACATAGATAGAATGGACAAACCCAGTGTTAATAGATGGCTCAGGTAAAGTGTGAGGTCTGGCAAGTACACCGTGGAAGCACAGGAAGCCTCAACTCATTTTGAAAATCCTTTAATGGCTCTGCCCTTACTCTTTCCCCTGTGCAGACCTGGCTTTGGCTGGCTGCCCTTGCTTTTCCTGGGATACCAAAGACACCTGGACCCTGTCCTTGTCCCGACCCATCTGCTTTTCTGAGAGGGCACCCCAACAAGAGCCAGTGCTCACTGGTGCCATTGGGAAAGGCAGTTGAGAGAAGCCAGAGGCAGGCAGGAGTGAGCCAGGCTGCAGGGCTGTGGAGCGTGCCGCTGATGGTGCAGATTCAGATGGATGTGCTGGGTGAAGTGGCTGGCGCAGACACTGCACCAGAAGGGCTGGACCCTGGAGTGCAAGCGCAGGTGGGTCTTGAGATTGCTAGAGCTGCTGAAGGACTTGTGGCACATCTGACAAGAATGGGCACTGGCGTCAGTTATGTCCTCTAGGCTGGCCTGGGATCTCTTTCCCCCTCGAATTTTGGAAGCATCCCCTGCCCATCTCCCTCTTGGTGCAGGCCAGGAAGTTTCCTGGCGATTCCCTCTCTGAAACTCACAGTATCTGTCATATGAAAGCTGGGCAGACCCAGGTCAGTGCCCTTTGATTCCCTGTGCCATCCTGTCTAAGTGTGTTCTCTCTGAGCCTTCCTTTCTTCTTTTTTTTTTATTTTTCAACAAATAATACACTGCATATATTCTTCTTAGTGCTTCCTTTCTTCTTATCAGTAACATGTGACTATTAGTTCCAAGTCTCATGTACTGAGGTGGACTGAACGAGATAATCACATAGAACACATATGTGAGGTTGCAGCCATCAATGGATATGCAATAAACATTTACTGGGGGCTGAACATGCCAGAATTTGGTCTCATAGGCTTCCCTAGGAGGTCCTCTGAACCTCTGCTCAGGGAAAAGCCACTAATCAGAGATCACATCACAGCCAGCCTGACTATAGCCTTGACTCCGAACCACTACGCTGCTCTCACCTCTGCCTTCTGGCCTCCCAAGGGATAGAGTCATCCTGGAAGGAGGGACCTACATAACTAATGATTTTCCCACTTGCATACTGTATAGCTACTATGGCCTTAATTTGTCCCGCAACCCTGGGAGCTAAGTAATGGCTATGCATTCTCCAGGACTTCCAAATTCATTGCTCTTACTCCTCGGCAATATCACTCATCATAACCTGAGAGAGGTCACTTCACCTTCCTCCAGCTCCCATTGCTAGCTCTGCCTTGTTGGGTTTTCTGGTTTTCACTTGCTCAGAGAGCTGGGGCACAGGTGCTTAGGTGCCACCCACACCCACCGCCACCCCCAGGTGTACAGCTCCTCTCCAGCTGCAGGAGACAGGGAGGAGAGGAAGGTCTCACCTGGCACTTGTGAGGTCGCTCCCCAGTGTGCACCATATGGTGCTTCTGCAGGTGGGCAAACTGGGTGAAGCTCTTCTGGCACAGGGCACACTTGAATGGTCGCTCTCCACTGTGCACGCGCAGGTGGACCTGGGCCAGGCATGGGAGACAAGCTGCCAAGTGCCCCGAGCCACAGCAAGGCCAGGGATCCTCTCTAAATCTCTGTCTAGCTCTATGCAGCATTCCTTGTGGCCATCCAGACCTCTTGATTGCCCCTTTCTCTGTCACCTCTGGGGTACTCACACTCTTTCTCCTGCTGCTATGCAAACAAGACCAGCAGTATTACTTTATAAGCTTGCTAGAAATGAAGATTCTCAGGCCTCACCCTAGACCTGCTGAGGCAAAATCTTTGGGGCCAGGTCCTGGAAATCTGCAGGTTTATTAGTTGTCCAGATCGTTTGACACCCATTAAAGTTTAAGAACTCCTGCCGCTGAGAAACCATATTGGTTTCTATTCCCCAATAGCCATAACTTTGTTGTGAACTTTGGTGGGCACCAATTTGCTCATAGCTTCCTGTCTTTGATAACAAGCGATTCTCCTATGCCCGCCCCCTGCTGGATAATGCAAGTGATGACGCCAACAGCGCTGGGGCAGCTTTGTGGGATCTCGCTTAAAAAAGGTTTGCCTCTGGTCTATGGTCAGGAGTCACAGAAACCTACCCATTCCACCATTTGAGCTTCAAACAAAATAAACTTAACTGGGAAAGAGCTCCGCGGTTATCTGGCAAAAAGCTTTACATTAGATGTTTACAGACTGAAATCAAAACCTATCCTCACCATTTCCCAGAAACCCTCCCCACTAGAAGCCTCAGTTTCCCCATTTTTAACTTACAGTTGCTCTCATAGTCCTTCCAACGTGGGAAGGACTTTGGTGGTGCCCTTTTATCCTGTATCTACCCACATGAAGGGTCCAAGGTCATCCAGCGCTAGAGGACGCCCAGGAATGCTCTCTAGCTCTCAGATCTTGATTCTGGAAGCCACCAGCAGGGAAAGAGGTCACTGAAAGACCGAGGGGGAGGGGGCGGAGCCAGGAGGCAGATACCTTGAGGTTGGAGAGCTGCCCAAAGCTCTTGCTGCACACGTTGCATTCGTATAGGATTTTGCCATTTTCTTTCTTCAGTGGGTAGGGGAGAGCGGTGGTGCCCACCCGGGAGCCCATGGAGGCCCGCTTCGCTGGAGCTGGCATGCCAGCCTGCTTTGTTCTCAGGGAGGGGGTTGGGACAGCTCTAAGGCCTGAATGCAGGGTCTGGGAGCACAGGGTGGGGTCAGAGGCTTGAAAGGCCCCATGATTGAGAAGCAGGATCTCCCTTGGGGTGCTGGGGTGCTCAGGGTCATTGGCCATGATGGGATAGGTGGTGTCTTGCGGCAGTATGAAGAGGTAGGGACACTGTACCGAAGGCAGGGCTCTATAGGTGAACAGATAAGGTGGAAGCAGGAGAAGTGGGTACCTGGGGTAGAGGGGGAAGAAGTGGAGTGGGAACTCCATGGAGATAGGAGTGGAAAGAGGGCGGAAACAGAACGCTGCGGGGCTAGGGCTCTTTCTATTCAGCTGGGCAGTTGGACTGGAGCTGTTTGGAGGAGTCAGGTCCAGGCAGGGGGCTCCTGGGCCAGCTGTTTCAGGCTGCCTTTCCATCTTGTCCCTGCTTAGCAAGTACTTGGCTGTGAGCTTTTCATCGTCAATGGAGCAGTTGTGCAGCCCCGGGGCCCTGTGCTCTAAGCAGGAAAAAGAATAAGGTCAGATCTCCAAGGCAGGTGGTAAAGGTCTGTCCCCCATCCAACCTGCCCAGCCTGGCTGAGAATGAACTCCAGCCCAGAGGGTGGGGGAGACTTGGGCAAGAGGCCTCCCTTGCTGTGCTTCCGTCTTCCCAGCTGCTGTTGTGCTGGCTAATAAGAACTGCTAGTCTTTCAGTAGTGCTCTGCAGTTTCAGGGAGTGAAAACAGTTCAGAAAGCCTATTGGGTATCCTGGTGGAGAAGTCGAGTGGGCAGCTGGATAAATTGATTTGGAGTTCAAAGGAGAGGCCTGAACTGGAGACATAAATTTGGGTGCTGGTGGGGCTGGTGAGATGGCTCAGTGGTCTAAAGCACCTACTTGGAACAAGCTAAGCCAAGCAAAGCACAGGGACCGCAGTTCAATCCCCCAGCACCACATGCCAGCCAGCCCCGCCCCCTGGTGGGCTGAGCTGGCCACACACACACACACACACACACACACACACACACACACACAAAATAAATAAATAAATAAATAAAATAAATAAAATAAAAAAAAAATTGGGTGCTGGTCAGGTGTGGCGGCATAAACATGTAATCTCATTACATGGGAGGCTGAAGCAGGAGGATTGCTTAGAGTTCGAGGCCAGCTTAAACTGCATAGTGAGACCCTGTCTCTAACTAATTGACTAAATAGATAGATAACTAAATAAATAAATAAAATGAATAATAATAAATCTAGGTACTTTGGGCCCAGATGAGATCACATAGGGTGACACTATATCTTGTGTATTCAAAGTGACAGCTGCTATATACATGTGAATAAATGTATTTATTTTTAAAAATTTATATTAAAAATGAGTTTAAACTGGACATGGTGGTACATGCCTGTAATTCCAGAACTCAGAAAACTGAGGCAGGAGACCATCATGAATTCAAGACCCTACTCAAACAAACAAACAAACAAACAAACAATAACAACAAAAATTTTCATTAAAAATCTACTTTTTCAGGGCTGGTGGTATAGCTCAGCTGACTAAGCGCTTGCTTAGGTAAATGTGGGGGCCAGGGCTCCATCCCTGGCATCGCATGCTATGTGGGCCCTGCTCCCCAGGCGCACTGAGTTGGCAGTGGAGGCTGAGCATGGCAGTGCATGCCAGTAATCCCAGCACTGGGGAGGCAGAAATCACGAGTCTGAGCTGATAGTGAGACCCTGTACACACACACACACACACACACACACACACACACAACCCTTTTTAAAAAAGAATCTGGGCCGGGGAGATAGCTCAGTGGAATAAGCGCTTGCCTGGCAAGTGCAAGGGCCTGAGTTCAATCCCCGGTTCCGCAAAATAAATAAATAAATGTAAAAAAAGAATCTACTTTTTCTAGGGCTGGGGAGATAGCTCAGTGATATAAGTGCCTGCCTGGCAAGTGCAAAGTCCTGAGTTTGATCCCTAGTACCACAAAATAATAATAATAATAA